ACCCAGTGGCACTGTGCGGCACTGCTCTCACTTACCCACTAGGTAACGTTTATGAATACGGCCACAGGAGTACAATTTGCAATTATGAAATGAGCTTACTTTGCAAAGCATTCTCGACACCAGTAGCGTATATATCATCGTTTGCTGTTGGAGAGGGAGCATCTCGAGGAGGAGTAGCAGCAGGATAAACTCCAGACTTTTCCATTTCCTATAATGAAGCGATATGAGGAAGCGATGACAAACAAGCGAACAACTCACAAGCAGATCTGCATGCACTTCTTGAATCCCTTGGAAGTATTTTTGATATGCCTAGATCGAACTCATAAGCTGAGGGATGAGATATATTGAATGGGCATACTAAAAGCCGGATACTTACATCCTCCACTACAGTAACGTCCTTCAGCTGATGAGAGAAATTTCGTTTGGCTAGCTCCAAGGTTTCGATAAGTTGCAACATTTTGCGTTTTTGCTCCTCCATAGAATGACGGAAGGATGTTATTTGACTAAGAACCTAAAAAAAGTAGTTGACTAGGCTAATAATTATCAAATAAACTGATACCTGCTGAGTTTCCATCACCAGTTGTGCTGCTACAGTCCGGTCTGTAAATACGTATATAAACATGCAAATGGTATAAGCCTTTTTGAACCATATACGGCATCGAAGAGCTTGCTTGTTATGAGAGTTTCACATAATATTTTTGGTGGCCCATGCAAACACCAGAAGCAAAAATGAGTTAATAATAAGAGCATCAAGGTGTTTTTATTGAAAAGAACACAAGTATAGTAACGTCAATGCAAAGCACTAAAAGCAAAACGTGCCTCTCATACGCTCTTTCATGAGCGCCCTGCAGTCAAAATCGCCGTTTCGAATCACTTCCATGCCGCGGTTGACAATGAGCCGTCCCTGAAATTTTTTTCGATGTAAGAATATGAAACACACAAAGAACAAGCTAGCATACCCGTTCAAAAAGTTCGATTTTCCTGTAAACTTCCTCCGCATCGAGCTCAGCAAAACTTTCATCCCCTTCTCCATTCTCTTCAGACTCTGAACCAAACCAATTATGTGATCTAAAGGAAGTAGACAGGCAGAATGGACTCTTTTCTCCGATTTTAGCGAAGTTAGGTAGTAGACCCCAAGTACACCGTAGCCCAAAC